CTATCACGAACGGACTTCGTCTTCTTATCTTCTTATAATTTTCGAGAGAAAAGAATATTTGAGGTAAAGAAGAGAATTACATCCAGAGTATAGAGATGAGGCACGACACGCAGGCCGTATTTAAAATTACAACAAATATAACTAAGCCACAATCATCCACCATGCAATAATACATACAAGCATCACATGCATCACATCATACATATTAAAGCATACACCGGGCGAACCGCGCTCGCCCCAGACCTAGTTTATTCTATTCTACGGAATAAACTATCAACAATAAATTAATTAAACTAGCAAGTAATTTAATTAAAAATCATAAAATACTTTAAATTTCTAGAATGTTAGAAATTTGATTTTCTAAATTCCAGAAAAAAATATATTTTATATTTACCGTATTTATATATATTTAAATTCGAAAAAGGGCTTTTATTTCGAATTAAATATATATATGTTTTCTAAATTAGAAAAAAATTGTTGGAGACTCCCAGTAAACTTTATTAATCTGGAAATCCTAAAATTCCAGAATGAATAAAATTTAAAATTTTGAAAACCATTTTTGAAAGCTAGAAAACCGAAATTATATTGTGAAAATATATTTCGAAATTCCAAAAATATCAAAATTTATTTTCCAAGTCAAAAATAAGTTCCAGAACCAGAATATGATTTTTCTAGAATTTAAAATATTAATTTTGAAATTTAAAATAATTAAAAATCGGACTAGTGAATAGTACCGATCCAATTACTTCAAAAATACAAAATAAATATTTTTACGTGTTTAAAAATTATGAAACTTTTTATACAAGCTTAAAATCTCTGGTCGCAACTTGTTATGAATTAAAATTAATTTGTGATCGTCAAAAATAAGTTTTCCCATTTTCTATTCAATAAACGAATTTAAAAATAGAAAAATAGGAAATTAATTCCAAAAATCGATTTTAAAATTTCTGAGTTATATTGAAATGTCAAATACTTCCCAGTAAAAATAAAATCTAATTTTCATAAATATTAAGTATTTATGGCACAAATAACAAGTATTCTACACATAAACTACTTAATAAGAATAATATAAAAATACCCCAAACAGTAATTCCGAAAATTACTGAACAAAATTATATTAGGTCCAGTATCTAAATATGGCCACCTAATTAAACTTTTAATGGGTTAAATTTTTGTCTCCAAAATTTATTGACTAATCTACAAAAACAATAACGGTAAAAACTACTAAACTAGTAACTTCGTAAGCCGGCTCCGATACCACTGTTGGGAAACGAGGCTTGGATAACGCAGCGGAAAACAAAAATTTATAGTCCAAAACTCGATTCCACCCAAGAACAACTTACGTAAATTACTACCTATAGTAAGAAATTTACCTTAACGGTGAAAACGGAGAACGGAGGAAAGGTCGGGGATGGTTTTGAGGAGATGAACGTAGCGCCAAACGTATGAAGCCTCCAACGTATCCACACGAACTTTCTCCGGAGTCCAAGATTAAACTTGTGCTAGCAAGTTTAATATAGGATAGTAAAAACTATAATAATACTACTTTGGGAGTAATAAATATATAGCAAAATATTTATCTTATAAATATTTCTTTATAATATTTTGTGTATATTTCTAACACTTTAGAAAAATAACTTTGAACACAAAATAGGATTTTTCTTCTCTCTAAAATGGGATGGCCGAATTTTTTTTTTCAAATCAAGACCTCATTTTATAATAAAGTATATTTAGGAAATTGCTAGGAAATTAATGTTAAGCATAAGTCCATGTATATGTCTTAACACCATGTGTAAATGTTTAATATCTTAGCTACCAAACAAAAAAGAATCCCTACATCAAATAATAATCAAATATATCAATTTGACATTAAAAATACTTTATGTATAAAATCAAAATGGTCTTGGATTTTCCTCTTGAAATCTTCGGCCATCTCATATTAAAGTACATTATATTTTACTTTGACATCAATAATTATCATATAATTAAAATGATGAAAAAATAAAATAATATATATATAGGTATATAATTTCGACCCTAAATATATATAAAATAAAAATTTGTTTTGTCAAAATATAATTATCATATAATTAAAATGACACAAACAAAATATAATTTTAAAATACATATGTATTTTCGAAATACATATATATATAAAATTATCACAACTATATATTTAATATTACTCCCACTAGTGTAGTATACTACTCCCTTACAAGTCCTAAGTGTGTGACCATTTAGATATCCATAACACTCGCAATGATATTAATATAAATTAATACCATAGATAATAAGCGGTATCTAGCAACACATTATTATCCCCAGATTATGAAAAAGACGTTCATCTCATCAATACCTTCTACGACACAAGACGTTCTATAACTATTATCCTTCTGTCCTAAATGTCATGATTTAACACAAGGCATGGGATGTGTATCCTTGTATAGCTAAATCAGCTGTTACTGAATCTCAAGTAGACTGGCAGGGATCAGATATTTATCAGTCTCTAGATAGTGACATATCTGGGCATGACCATGCACTTTCCCAAGTCCTACTATTCAGTGGGCCCATTGACATTATACTTCTATACAGTAGAAGGGACAGATCCTGTATCTGTTATTCACATCTCTAAATATGCTTAGCGGCATACCCAACGCATAACATTACGTCTACCAGTATTTCAGATAGCATTAGTTATGAATCAAAGCATACGGCCCCACATATCAGAGAATGTAATAACTTCAAGTCTGAGGATAGTTATAGCAAGGTCGATTTGAGAATACTGATAAACACATTACTGTAGATCCATGCAGTATTCTCAAGATGGGTCAATCCAGTCACATATTATC